CGGACGGGGGCTCGGGCGCGCCCGGCTCTGAGCCGCCCCGATCGGCCGGGGGAGGAAACGCACCGATCCGCCGGGGCGCGCGTCCTGGGCCCGCAGCGGTTCGAAGAGGAGTTGATCCTCGACGCAACTTTGCGAGCCAGGCTGGCTTGGCTTCTGTCGCAGCGCCTATCCCTGGGGAGACTCGCGCCGCTCAGAACGAGGCGGGGCGGGAAAACTGCACGGAAACTAACTTCGAGTGGTTGGAGAGATTCTCCAAACTCTCAGTGGCTTTTGCAAACAGCTTCCTTTCTCGACGTTAGACCCTTGGACTGTTTAAGGACTTTGTGCTGCCACTTACGGAGTCCTAACGTCGTCTCCGAGCTGTAACTGCCACGACAATATATTTCCTTGGGTCAAAGAGGTCTGCGGCCATCACATCATGTGCGCCCCAGATTTAGCAAATCAGTCCTCTGTGAAGTTGCCCTATCAGTGCGCAGCTCTTTGACGCAAGATCAAAGCCTACGAGATTTCCATTAACCGAGTCAAAATGTCCAGGCGGGCAGACAAAAGTGTTGCAGTCAGAGCAGCGGTTTTAGAGCTGACGCACAGGTCAGGAAAGTTTTGTGTATTAGATATTACTATCTGCTGTGGACATCCCAGTGAATGCCCTTTACTTCCAAGGGGGCGACGTGAGTGGTGCGCTCTCATTTGAATACATTTGTGTCTCATGATTTCTTTTTCTCACGCTTTTATCTTTAGTTGTGTAGTGCTGGCTTCTGTCTCCTAATGTAATGGGTTTGTGACTGCTTCACAGAATGTTCTTTTGGCTGGTATCTGTGAGAGGAACAAACCCGGCTGGTATGAGACCCATGTTGGGCTTGGCTAACAAAGAAGGTATTGTTTCTTTCAAAAAGAGCAGGTTGAGTAAAATCTCATTTCATACAGAGACAATGAGAAATGAACATATTCCTCCCTGGTGTGGGTCTTGTTTGAAAGGCTACTTAATGATACAAACTTGCGTTTGACTTCAATGTTTTCAAAAGCATGCTCACTGACTGTCATTTCTTAGACTGTGAGTAACTAAATAGATCCAAGCCATTTGAGGAGAAACCAGGGTCAGATTTGTGCTTTTTTAGTTAGCTCTGGCATGACTGTCCTGTTTGCAAGTCCCAGCAGCTGTCTAGGAGCACCAGCCAGATATCTGAAACTGCACCCGCTTGCGAGCAATCCGAGGGAGTTTCATTAGCTCAGCATGTGGCCTTGTGGAAGGAGAATACCAGACAAGGAGAGAGTTGCCTGCCACAGCTGGTGCTTTGCAGCAAGGTTGCCAGTTAGATCTACGTTCCTCCAAGCCTGCAGTGTGGGTGATTGCCCTGCACGCTCCAGGAGCCTTTCTGTCGCTCACTCCCTGGTGTGGAGACGGAGGAGCCCCGTGCCCCTGCAGTGGGATCATGGGAGAATGGTGTCACTCCTCCGTCCCCAGGAAAAGCACTCAAAGAGAGGTTCCTGAATTTACACGGAGCCAAAGGACACGGCATCATCAATCATGAGTCTGGTAACAGAAATAATCAGCCCAAGTTATTAACCTTTGACTCACTAACTCCTGATCAATACTTCCTTTCAAGTGGAGAAGCAAGATGGCATTGTTCTCCTGAAGGAAACACTGTCTCTTTCAGGAACACTCCTTCCTCTCAGTTGCTACATATGTGCAACCTATTTGTGGAGTACTGAGCAGCGGTCCTGGGGTCAGGGGCCATTGTGTCTGACATTCTGACTGAGTTCATTCTGTAGCTCTTGGTAGCACTGGTTCCGATCAAAGCAACTTTCCCTTCTTGCTCCCGCACCTCCTCTGTACCTGAGATGATGTGTTTTTGGCCTGTTCTTACTAAAATATAATATTCGTTCTCTCCCTTTCTGTCCTCTCCTTCTTCTCTGTCTCTGTCTGTCCGTCTCTCTGTCCCTATCTCTGTCTCACTTTCTCTCTCTCTGTCATCTGATTGTTTTATTTTCCATTATTTTGAGTGTGTGGAACAATGTCTGGTACGTTGTAATAGCTCAATAAATGTTTCTTGAGAATAACGCATGGATTCCCATGAAGATTATAACATGGCCAAGATAAAATGATGGAAATTTTATCCGCTGAACTCAACCAGTCTGTAAATGCCATGTGCCAACAAGACAGAAGACACCGGAGATACAAAGATAAATGACACTCAGTTCCTACTCTGAGGATGCAGGCCAACCGGTAGAATTTTTAGAGAAGAGATGGGATACACAGCAATATTTCTGAATCAAGAGGCTGGAGGTGTAGACCTGGAATTGCTGGTTCCCATTAAAAACACATCAAAGGACTCCTTGCTGCTGCCCCGAAGCGTGGTTGAGGCTGAGAACACTGGCGCTGCTCTGTCTTCTGTGACCCGGGAGCTCCCCTTGCCGCAGCCTTCCGACGGCGCTTCAGCACGGAGGCCGTGTCCGCTGCAGCTTCTCTTAGGTCTGTCTGTTTTATTTCATTAAAGTAAGAAACCAGTAAAAGGCACTTGTCAGTTCCCTGCGCTTGAGATCAGACTGGCAGGCCAGTTAAGCCCTCGGGCCCTGGGCAGTTTACTTCCGCTGCTACAGCGTTAATGACCGGAAGGAAGCAGCCATTATGTTTCTGAGTTGTGTTAAGACTACTATCACCATTAAATTGTTGTTGTAAAGAGGGAAATAAAACATTTTTGATACTATCTCATGAGCAGAGGAGTAAGAAAACAAAAGAGGGTCAAGAGAGTCTTGTTTTTCAAGGAAAAGAAAGATCACTTAAAACTCGAAGATCTATCTGAGTTTTGCAGCTCTCTTTTCAGAGTTTGGAAGAATTCAAGAAATCGCTCCTTCTTACCTCATTTCTTTTTTTTTTTTTTTTTTTTTTTTTTTTTTTTTTTTTTTTTTTTTTTTCTCCGGTACCGGGAACCGAACTCACGACCTTGCGCTTGCCAGGCAGGCGCTTTGCCGCTGAGCTAAATCCCCAGCCCCTCTTCTTACCTCATTTCATAGACTGCACGCAACTTTATTTGGGATGAAAGGAAGGAAGCCATCTCAAATCACATAAATTCAGAGGCCCTTAGAAGAGGTAGGAAACACAAAGGATTCTGGGTTGGAAAAGATTGACATCAAGTCCTACCCAGATTTGAACCATTTTAAAAAGTGAATGTTCTGTGTAGGTGCATTAGCATTTTGATCTTTATTATACAGGTGATCCTCTGTCCGTCTGCTTCTGACCCTCCTGGAAGTTCAGAGACTGGGCCCAGGCTGGGCCAGTGAAAAAGGACAGCTCATGCTGCTTTGTTCTTCTGTCTTTGCTCTTTCTGTCCACATAGGGACCTGCGCCAGACGTGTAAAATACTGCTGCTTCCCCTGAGCCTCTGGGAAGCCCCTCCTTCTATGTTTCTGTAGGAATCTGTCCTCATTTTCTACGATCTGTACACCATATTCCTTGATTCTAAGAGAGAACAAAACAGGCTTGGTTGCTATTTATTTTTCATATTATTTTTGTTGTTTAAGTTTTCTTAGGAATACATTTGAAAAACTCCATGGAGTCTGCCTTTGCTCTTACTCGGTATTCTTCTTTTTTTTGTCTTTTTGAGACAGGGTCTTGCTGTGCAGTTCACGCTGGCCCTGAACTCACTTTGTAGCCCAGGCTGACCTCAAACTCACAACGATCCTCCTGCCTCTGCCTCCCGAGTGCTGGGATTACAGGCGTGTACCACCACACCCGGTTTAGTATTCTTAACTTCTGTGCTTGTACTGTTGATTTCCATTCCATCTTTTGGAGCAGGCAAGAGGTCATCAAGATTCCAGGGAGTCTCAGTGCTACTGAAAGAAATGGTTGAAATTTCTTTAAAATCATGATCTCCAGAAAGGCCAAGCTGCTACTCAGAACGCTGAGAATGTTGACGTTCATATAAAGTAACTTATAAAGTCAGTGAGAAGTATATGAAACTGAAGCTACACGTTTGTTTTATTTTTTCAAGGATTTCCTTAGTTATATACAAATAAGGATGTACAGCATCTGGGGGGAAGGTACAGAATAAAGTGGCCATGATCACTTTTGATGTGTATCTAGTTACACCATAAGCTTCCTGAAAGAACAAAAATAGAGGAGGCAAAGAACTGACTCTTCCTCAAAAACAAATACAGATGCCAACCAAGGTTCTCCCAGAATTTCCATTCACAGCAGCCTTTCAACATCGGTGGAGAGAGTTTGTTTCCTAGTACATAACTGTTCTCTGGGATGAGAATACTGTACTTTGATGAAAGTGGAGTTGATGATTAAAAAAAATAAAAGGTTTTTTTAGGGGGTTTGTCTTTTTGAGTCAGGGTCTCACTATGCAGTTTAGGCTGGCCTTGAGCTCACTCTGTAGCCCAGGCTGGTCTCAAACTCATAGAGATCCTCCTGCCTCAGCCTCCAGAGTGC